GTGGGAGAGTCATGATTTGAGGCAAGCCCAGCAAAAAGAGTCAGCCAAACCCTATCTCAAACAATAAGCCAGGTATGGTAGCACATGTGAAATCCCAGTTACACAGGAGGTGTAGGTATGAGGATTGTGATTTGAGGCCACCCTGGGCAAAAAAGTGCAAGACACAATCTGAAAAATAACCAGAGCTAAAAGGGTTGGAGGCATGGCTTAAGTTATAATCCTAGCTACTTGGAAGGTGGATACAGGAAGTCAGTCCAGGCAAAAGTTAGCGAGACCCTGTTTCAAAAATGAGCTGGGGATGGTGATGCATACTTGTGGTGCTAGCTACTTAGGGGGTTGAGGCAGGAGGATCATAGTTTGAGGCCAGCCTAGGCAAAGTGAACATAAAATCCTATCTGACAACTAAAAGCAAAAGAACTGAGGGTGTGGCTCAAATAATAGAACACTTGGCAAGCAAGTGCAAGACCTTTAGTTTAATGCCCAGAATTACAGGGGGAAAAAAGTAACCTTAAATTTTCTATACCATGAAAAAAGGATAAAGCAAGAAAGAGGAAACTGGAATCTAGGACTCATGACAGAAAAGACAAAGGAATCCTCATAAATAATCTGTTGTGTGCAGCCGACTGAGAGCAAATTGTAATAGAAGGATGGAATATTAACAAATTGTAATAGAAGGATGGAATGTCTTCATAAAAACTGAAACTGAGAGAATACCTGAAGGAGGCATTTCGATGGGAGTACACCTCAGGACAGGAGATGATTGATATATCTAGTACACTGTTTTTGAGCATAATGCTCTTGGTCATTTATTTTTAATAGGATAGAGGTAGTATGTTCTCCCATGTCTTCTCTAAACTTTGATTTGTTTGTCTTCTGAAATCCAGTGTTATCAATATAAATAGGTGCTGTAAAGTACTTGTTGGGATGTTAAAGTACTAAACATCCATTAATTATATGCCACCATAATATTTAGAAACTGCCCTATTACCATCTGGAACGAAGAAAATATATCTTGTATAAAATATTTACATTATCCTGAAATAGAAGCAATCAAAATAAATGTTCTTTTGGGTGCATAGCTCCTTAAGAGAAACAGTTGACTCTTCATGCTACAAGTTGTAAAATGTTTTCCATTAGATAAGTCGCTGTAATTTTGCACAATTACATATTTGATATTCTAGAACTCTTTAAATAGAAAATTATGAAGCCTTTAAAATGAAATGGATCTATTTCAATAATATGGAAAGTAAGCAAGACATATTATTATTATCTTTTTAAAAAATAAATTACATAATGGTAAGAATGGAATGACCTCATTGTATTTTGAAAGACATATTTTATATACTTGCCTTTTATGAGCAATTTCTGTAATTACCCAAACTGCTGAAGTGATTACTTATGGGGAGGGGAACTTATACGTTTTCTTTTTATATATCCTTTTGTGTGGCTTGAAATATTTACCAAGTGTACATAGTTTTAATGATAAATAAATGAACTTAAAATACCAGATGTATGAGACATATAAAAAAGAGATCTTACTATTTGTTTTTTATAGAAGTTTTTATATAATCTGCTTGGATTATAAGGAGACATTGAAGAAACCTTGTGGTAGTAATGACACTGATTTAATAGCTGTAAGATCCAAGTCTTAGAAAACACTTGGTACTATTTTACTTTAAAATTTTTTTCCTTGGCAGAGGAGTAGTGTGGTAGTGATCCTGTTACATTACTTCAAGAAAGTAGTTAATATGATAAATATTTAAGTTATGCTAAAAAGTATTAATTTGAAATTAAAATGGTATTTTAGGGTTTACTAGCCAGTTAGTTTCTAAAATAAACAGATAAAAATGTTCTGTGGTAGTTAAATTTTTTAGTAGTGTTAGGCTGGATTATGCTACAATTCATACTTTTCAGTGCTGTACTTTCTATTACTTTTTCAGTACATTAAAACTTATGCAGTGAAACTGAATAATGGCAATGTTTTTATACCCTTTTATAGCCATTTCTTTATCATAACCTCCCCCATCTCCTCTTAGCTAAACTATAAGCACCTTTCTGTTAATTTATGAAAATTATTGTTGAGATAGCACATTATCACTGATCTGTATGGCACTTTCAGCATGTTCAAAGCAAAGGTCCAAGCAACATAAAACACATCAAAATTCATTAATGTGGTATTGATTATTTTTTGGATAATTAATTTTATTACAGACTCTTGAAAGAGATAATGAGCTGCAAAGGGAGAAGATAAAAGAAAATGAAGAAAAGTTCCTTTACCTTCAAAACGAGCATGAGAAAGCACTAGGAACTTGGAAGAGACATGTAGGTTTATTGAATTATAAAATATTAAAATATTTTAAATAGTTGTGGGCTTTAAAAATAACTATTAAATGATAAGAAAATATTGCAAAAATAATACAAGAATAAAGTCAGATATCTTTTTATACTTGTATTTTCAGAAAGTGAGTGCTTTTTATAAATAAATTTAATATAAAAATTCTCTGCAATGTTTTCATGCATGGTAGACCATACACATACATGTTTGTGTATGTATACACACACATAAATGAATATATATTGAATGACTTTCCACATGTGACAAAGAAAATTAATTTCCCCTTTTACAAAAGCATTGCAGTGTATTTTAGTAAATGATCATAGTTATATATATGCTATTGTTAGCTGATATATTTTACTTTCTTCAGTAGGTTTGTTGAGATGTATTAGAGCCATGTTTAGAATATGTATGCCATAGTTGAGTTCTATTGAATTAATATTTTATCATAAGAGTTGACACATTGTAAACATAACTATTTCCTTAAAGTGCAATTTGTTTATTTTACACTAAATTTTAATTTTAGTGAAGTAGATTAAAAAATGGTGCAAAATGATATAAGTTCAAGTTGTGAAATACAAAAGTTCGTGTAAATATTATCAGACTACAAAATTGATATCCTGTTTTAATGCCAATTTTCATTGCCTTTTCAATTCTTTTTTAAAAATTAAGACAATTAGCCAAAGCTATAGCCTGTGCAAATGTGCAATAAAAAATCATCACAATAGAAAGTCACTATGAGTTTATGAAGCTATACTTTAGAAGTGTATGATTATATTTTAAACTATTGTACTAATTATACAATATGGTTTATTATACTAATATGTAAATAACAGATCGATAACATTTTCTATGAGTAATTTTATTTGATTATTATATAAGTAACTGGTTTTAATTCATTTATAACTAACATTTTTATAATTTATTCTTTGAAAAGATCAAGTTTTCATGAATTTGATAAATTTTACTCAAAATATTACATCAGAATACTAAAACATGCTTACTAATCTCTACTAGTTATCATTAAGCAAGAAGCATGACTTCAGTTAATTTGTATTGCATCCCAATACCTCCTCCTCATTCAAAATGTTTAAAAGACCATGAGAATGGAAAATTTTAAAGTAAAAAGGAAGTATAAACTTAAATATGCCAAATACACCACAAAAAGATCAGTTAAGCTGGCAGAGTGGCTCAAGTGGTAGAGCGCCTGCCTAGCAAGTATGATGCCGTGAGTTAAAGCCCAGTACTGCCAAAAAAAAAAAAAAAATAGAGTAAGTAAAAAAAGATCAGTTAAGCAGTTAAGCTAAGGAAAGTAAGCATTCATTTTCTCTTAGACTATAATAATGGCCTCCCAGAAAAAAAAAGATTGAATTAATAAAAATGAGTAGCTTCACTGGTGAGACTGAAATCTGTGTTTGGGCAAAATGATTTTATTTTATAATTTTTAGATTAAATAATCATTTTACTTTCACAGTGCTTTAATACTAAACAGAATATAGTCAAGTAAGGGAAAGCTATTTTGGTTCTATAAGAATTTTCTTGAGTGGGAGATAAGATCTCTGTACTCTTTGTGTTTCTGTTTTCACCACTCTTGAGTGAAGACAGTAATAGTACAGCTTTGAAATAAATAAAAATGTGTTTTTCAAAAACAGTAATGATGGTGACAAATAAATTGGAATCATAAAAACTGGTGTTTATACTTGGTCATTCAAAAAGTACTATGGAAAGAAAATACTATCCTAATAAAACTTGTTGTATTTTGTTAGGTGATATATTTAAAACTCATTGAGTTGTTTTTGAAAAGTGTTATGTGTATCTGTTCTTATTTTGACTAATTATATTATCAGTGGGTATAATATATATATAGAGAGAGAAATGAAAAATAAATGAGGATTTCAGAAATTATTTTAGGAAAAGGAAGTTACAAATGAGAATTAATTCATGACGTTTATTGAGCATATACTGTGTGCTATAGACTGTAGATTGTTTTTCTTTTCTTTTTTTCTTGTTTTTTGAGATAGAGTCTTACCATGTAGCCCAGGCTGGCCTTGAATTCTTGCTCCTCCTACTTCTGCCTCCTGATTGCTGAGATTACAGGTGTATATCACTGTGCCCAGCAGATTTTCAAAGATGCCTAAAATAGAAAGATTACCAAAGAACTAACACTCTAAAAGGATAAATACTAAATTACCCATAATACTGCAGGCTGATTTTTAATATTGCTAATAAAGTACTATGAAAAAAAAATCATGGCCTTTAGTAAGGCTAGAGAGTTTTAGAGAAAATGGCACAAGATTCGCCTTGAAAGATGAATATGATTTCACAAGCAGAAGGTACCTGTGTTCCCTAACATTCTCATTCCATCCTGCTGGCATTCCATTTTTTAAAAATGGGAAAGATCACAGAATCATGACACTCCATTTTCAAAGGTAACGAATAGTCTGTTCTGAATAGGAAGTAGGATATGTGGAATGTGACATTGGAAAAATAGGTTCAGCTCACTTTCTGAAGGGTCTTTTACTAAGACAGTTGGATTTTATAATAACAGGAAGCCACTGAGAGTTTTAAAGCAGAGAAATAATGTGGGCAGATCTGCTTTTGAAAAATAAGTATGGAGGATGGCTTTATGGAAGGAGACCAGTGAGAAGAATATTGTAATAGTCTAGCCATTAGCCTACGAGAATTGGAGTTACAATAGTAGGGAAAACAAAGAAGAGAGATATATGCAAGAAGAATTTTGAGAATAAAATTGGCAGAGTTAGTGACATCTTGTACATAATGGGTATTAGAAGGGGGAAAGGAGTCAAATGTGACTCTGAGATTAGTATAACTCTTAGAATGGTAATGTCATTAACTGACATGAGGAATGTAAGAGGAGAAGCAGATTTGGAGGATGGAAATAATGAGTTTAATTTGAGAACTATTGAATTTATGGTTCCTACAGGACATCTTGCTTGAAATGCATACCACGCATTTAGAAATGTGAATCTCAATTTAGGAGAGATTGGGGGAAGAGATACAGATTTAAGATTTATTAGCATAAATGTAAAATTTGAAACTATAGGAGAAATAAGATCACTTCTAGAAGGAACTGAAGGCTTGAAGAGAAGAGTGCTAAATAAGAAAGAGCTTTAGGGAATGACAACGTGTGTGTGTGTGTGTGTGTGTGTGTGTGTGTGTGTGTGTGTATGTTTTGGGGCAGGAGAGGAAAGAGAACCTGATAAGAATAGTGAGAAAGATAGGAGGATAGAGAGCATAGTACCATGGAAGCCAAGAGAAGAAGCTGTTTCAAGAACAGTAGTAAAGAACTAGAGAAAAGGTTAGATCAAAAAGAATTAACCTAGAAGGTAACACCCACGCACAGGAAATCAATGTGAGTCAATGCCCTGTATAGCTATCCTTATCTCAACCAGCAAAAACCCTTGTTCCTTCCTATTATTGCTTATACTCTCTCTACAACAAAATTAGAAATAAGGGCAAAATAGTTTCTGCTGGGTATTGGGGGGGAGAGGGAGGGGGCGGAGTAGGTGGTAAGGGAGGGGGTGGGGGCAGGGGGGAGAAATGAACCAAGCCTTGTATGCACATATGAATAATAAAAGAAAAATGAAAAAAAAAAAGAACAGTAGTAGACCAGATATGGTGACATGTGCCTGTAATCTCAGCTACTTGGGAGGCAGAAATTGGGAGGACTGTAATTCGAGGATAGCCTAGGCAAAAAGTAAGTGATACCCCATCTCAAATAACAAGTTTGGAGTGATGGTGTGAACCTCAGGAAACAGAACCTTAGGAAACATAGGTAGGACGTTCAAGAGCTAAGGCCAACCCTGGGCAAAATCGGGAGACCCTATCCAAAAAACAACTAAAGCAAAAACGGGCTGGGAATGTAGCTCAAGTGGTAGAGTGAATTCAAATTCCAGTACCACTCAGAAAAAATTAGAACAGTAGTTAACATTGTGAGATGCTACAGAGCTGTTAAAGATGTGGAAAGCATCATTTTGCTAATTTGCAGTTGTTATCTAAGGAAACAGTCAATAGAACAATGACAGCAGAAGTCTGGTTGTTAAGATGTGACATAAGGTTAGACTTTGAAAGTAGCAAGTATTACTTATTTTAAGAAATGAGAGAGAGAGTAACTGGGTCAAGGAGAAAAATAAGGAATGTGAATAGAAGATATTTGTTGGCATAGTATGAGAGAGTAAGAATAGGCAGAAGATTAAATCTAGAGTTGGACTAAGGAAGATGGGAAAGGATGGGATAAAGAATACATGAAGATTTTAGCCTTGGAAAAGGTATCCCTTCTGGAGATATTAAAAGATGGTTAAAGTAGATGAGATGAAGGGGAAATAATGTGAGTTTACACCTGCTGGCCTCTATAAGGAGTGTTAAACACACTTGAGACTTATGATAGGAGTTTGGGAATTTTTAAGGAGAAAAATGTAATCTTCCATGATGATAGGATATTTCTTTTCTTTAATGGAGCTCACCTTGCTCATATTTGAGGTTTGTGTGAAAGAGTACTGCTCCAAGAAAAAGATTGTGAAGTTTTATAGGTGGTGAACATCCAGTTTGTAGATAGGATAGGAGGCAGACACTTTATGTGTTTCAGTTGTACCATTTAGTGCTGAATACTCTTCATCTAGTTGAGTTAAAATCTCTATATCCAATTGCAGCAATAAAAAATTTAAGAAAGCAATGAAGTAAAAATAACTTTATAGGCATATAACTAAAAATCATAAATTTTCATTTGTAACAAGAGGTGGTTTGATGTAGTAGTTAGGAACACAGCCCCTAGATTTAGCTTTGGATTCAAATCTTGACTGCCATTTTGTATCTGCATGATCTGGGGCAAGTTACTTAATTCTTACAAGCTCCACATCTCTCACTTGTAAATTGTACATAAAATATCTCAGAGTTTTTATGAGTATGAAATTATGCTTATTAAGGGCTCAGCACATTTTCATAAGTGTTAGTTCTTTTTTTTTTCCTTTGGTGGTACTGGAATTTGAACTAAAGCCTTTGTGCCTGCAAAGCAGGCATTCTAATGCTTGAGCCACACTTCTGGCCCTTTTTGCTGTGGTTATTTTGAACATGGGGTCTCATGAACTATTTCCCAGGCTGGCTTTGAACTGTAATCCTCCCAATATTAGCCTCCCAAGTAGCTAGGATTACAGGTGGGGGTCACTGGTGCCCAGCTGTAAATGTTATTTCTTAATGTCAATAGTTATTTTGTGATTGTTTTTATATATTTATTTGTTTTTACTGTTTCCAAAATTTTGTATTAATATTTTTAAAGAAAAACACTTGCTCATTTTGGCTAAATCTTGTAATAGGTTGAAGAACTTAATGGAGAAATTAATGATACTAAAAGTGAGTTATCATCACTTAAAGAAACTCATATTAAGCTACAAGAACATTATGACAAATTATGCAATCAGAAAAAGTTTGAGGAAGACAAATTTCAGGTAAAATTCAAGTATGTTGGAGGATAAAGGCTGTTAAATTAGCATGATCACTGATGGGTTTTTGCTTTATATTATGTTTCTAAACTTTTAAAAAAATGAGTATTTATAATACATTCTGTACAGTACGACATAAGAATCAAGAATCATTTTTTAAGGTATGGATTTCCAATTGTTCCAGGACATGCATTTGTTGAAAAGACTATTCTTTCTTCTGTTGTACCTTGGCACTTTCTTTGAAAATCAATTGTGTAAATATATATGGGTCTATTTCTAAACTATTATGTGTCATTGATTTTATGTCTATACTTAAGCCACTTACAACATTGTTTTTATTTGTGTAGCTATTCAAGATGTCTTAAGATACAGCATAAATTCTTCAATTCTGTTGGTTTTTTTTTTCAGAATTGTTTTTTGCTATTATAGGTCTTTACATATCCATATCACTTTTAGAATCAGTTTGTCAACTTTTAAAAAGGAAGCCCATGGGATTTTGATTGGGATTGTCCTAGCAAGCATGAGGACTTGAGTTCAAACTCCAGTACCACCAAAAAAATTGATCGGGATTGTGTTGAATCTATGGATTAATTTGTAAAGATCTGACATTTTAACAATATTGAGTTTTCCAGTGTGTGAACATGGTATAGCTTTCCATTTTGGGGAATATCTCTTAAGAATATTTTCTAGTTTTTTGTATAGTTCTTGTAAATATTTGGTTAATTTTTTTTCTGAGTACTTTGTTTTGTTTGGTCCTGGGGACTGAACCAAACAAATGTTAAGCATATACTCTATCTTGATCCCATGGAATCCTATTATAAATACTACTTTAAAGTTTTTTTTTACATGTTCATTGCTCAGATATAAAAGTACAATTGAGTCTGTACATTGACTTTTTTAAAAAACTTACTCCATTGTTACTGTCATTTAGTATTCATTTTATTTCTTTTTCTCATCTTACTGTTTCAGTCAGGACCCTCTAGTATAGTGTTGAATAAAAGTTGTCAGACTGAGCATTCTTGCCTTGTTTCTCATTTCAGATGACAGTATTTAGTCTTTTCATTATTCCAAATTATATAATATTAGCTGTTGATTTTTTGTTTATATTCTTTGTCAGGTTGAGAAAGTTTCCTTCTATTCCTGGTTTGCTAGGCTTTTACCATAGATGAGTTTTTGTTTCTATCATGATTGGATGTTAAATTTTGCCAATTTTTCTCAATCCATTGAGGTTTTTTAAATCAGTTTTTAAATTTTTATTTGATTTTTGAATTAGCATACGTTATTCATATGAAGGGATTTCATTGTGGTAATTCCATACATTTGTCCAGTATACTTTGAGCAAGCTCACCCCCCTTATTTTTTCATTGACTATAATAATCTCCAGTTCCCTCTATTTTCCTGTGGACAGCATAGTTCCTCTTTATGGATAATTAACACTCTATTGTGTATGTATACCATATTGTTTTTATCTATTCATTCACTAATGAGGACTTAGCCTGATTCTATAACTTGGCTATTGTGAATATTGTGCAATAAACATGGATATGCAGGTATCTCTATTGTATGGTGACTTTTATTCCTTTGGGTATGCACTATGGAGTGTTATAACTGAATCTATTAACCGAATCTATTATTTTTAGTTTTTTTGAGGAACCTCTATACTGATTTCCACAGTGACCAAACTAATTTATAGTTCCACAAACAGTGTATAAGTTTTCTTTTTCTCTACATCCTCACCAGCCCTTTTTTGCAATGGGTTTTTCTTGAGATAGGATTGCATAAACTATTTGCCAAGTCTGACTTTGAACAGCAATCCTCATCTCTGCCTCCTGAGTAGCTAGGATTGCAGGCATAAGCCACAGGTGCCTGGCTATTTTTTGTGTTCTCGATGATAGCCATTCTGACTGGAGTGAGATAGAATCTCAATGTAGTTTTGCACTTCTCTGATGGTAAAAGATGTTGAACTTTTTTTTAATATAATTATTGGCTATTTGTACTACTTCTTTTGAGAAGTGTCTGTTCAGTTTGTCTATTGTCTAGCTTACTTGTTCTTTTGATAGTAAATTTTTTGAGCTCTTTAAATATTCTGAATATTACTCCCTTGTCAGATGAGTATCTGGAAAAAATTTCCTCCTATTCTATAGGCTGTGTCTTCACTCTGTAAACTGTTTCTCTTGATGTACAAAAGGTTTTTAATTTGATGCAATCCCAATTTGATGATGTTTGCTATTATTTCCCAGGCTATTAGAGTCCTATTTGGGAAGTCATTGCTTATCCCTGTATCTTGAAGGGTTTCCCTTTTGTTTTATTCTTATGGTTTCAAAGATTCAGGTTTTACATTTAAGAGCTTTGATCCATTTTGAGTTGATTTTTGTACAAGCTGAGAAAAAGAGGTCTAGTTTCAATTTTCTACATGTAGCTATCCAGTTTTCCTAGCACTATTTGTTGAAGAGGCTGTCTTTTCTCCAATGTACATTTTTGCCACCTTTATGGAGAATCAGATAGCTGTAGCTGCATGGGTTTATTTCTGGGACCTCTATTCTATTCCAGTGGTCTATGTGTCTGTTTTAATGACAATACATGCTGTATTATTATTATTATTATTATTATTATTATTGCTTTGTAGAATATTTTGCAATCAGGTATGGTTGATGCCTTCAACATTTCACTTAATATGCTTTGGTTATTTGGAGTCTTTTATGCTTCCAAATGAATTCTAGAATATTTTTCTAGTTCTGTGAAGAATGTCATTGGTATTTTGATGGGGATTGCATTGAGTCATTAAATGACTTTCAGTAATATGGCTGTTTTCCCAAAATTAATTCTGCCAAACCATGTGCATGGAAGGTCTTTCCGTCTTCTAATGCATTCTTCAATTTCTTGTTTTATGATTTTCATTGTAGGTTCATTAGTTAGGTTCACCTCCTTGGTTAGGTTTGTTCTTTGGCATTTTTTGAGGCTATTGTGAATGAGATTATTTTCCCAATTTCTTTCTCCATGAGTTCATTATTGGTGTATGGAAATGCTCCTGGTTTTTGTATACTGATTTTGTATCTTACTACTTGCTGAATTTGTTTATCAATATAAGAGTATTTTGGCAGAGTCTTTAGGTTTTTCTAAGTATAGGATCATATCATCTATAAACAGTGATAATTCTACTTCTTCCTTTCTTATCTGTGTCCCTTTTATTTCTTTCTCTTAGTGCTATGTCTAAAATTTCAAGTACTATATTGAATTAGAGTAGTAAGAGTGGACACCATGATCTTCCTGATTTTAGAGGAAATACTTTCAGTTTTTCTCCATTCTGTATGAAGTTGGCTATGGGTTTGCTGTGTATAGTCTTTATTATGTTGACATATGATTCTTTTATACCTAGTTTCTGCAGGGATTTTATCATGAGCAGATGTTGTATTTTGTCAAAAGATTTTCTACATCTATTGAGATGATCACGTGATTTTTATCCTTGGTTCTGTTTATGTGCTGGATTATGTTTAATGATTTGTGTATTTCAAAACATTCTTGCATCCCAGGAATGAAACCAACTTGATCATGGTATATGATCTTTTTAAAGTGAGGTTGAATTCAGTTTTACAAGTATTTTATTTAGGATTTTTGTATCTATGTTCATCAAGGATATTGGTTTATAGTTTTTTTTCTTTTTTTGGTTGTGTTCTTATTTTTTTTTTTTTGGGGGGGAGGTGTTTTATGGCCTGGGGTTTGAACTCAGGGCTTTGTGTTTGCAAAGAATGCACTGTACTTCTTGAGACACACCACCAGCTCCTTATGCTGACTTTGTAGAATGAGTTTGAAAGCATTCCTTCCCTTTCCATTTTATGGATAGTTTCAGAAGCATTGATGTGGTGTATATCATAACATCCCTTTTTTATTCTTGATGTTGGTAATTTGCATCTACTCTGTTTTTCTTGATCACTTTAGTTAGAGGTTTTACAGTTTTATCAATTTCATCAAAGAACCAAGTTTTGGCTTCATGAATTTCCCTCTCGTTTTTCTTCACTTGCTATTTTACTTGAGTTTTGCTGTTAACTTGCATATTTCCTTCATTCTATTTATTTTAGATTTAGTTTTTCCCTCTTTTTATCTGCTTATGCTTGAAAATTAGATCACTGAATATTAGCCTCTCTTCTTCTCTAATATAAGCATTTAAAGCTGTGAAAGTTTCTCTAAGCACTGCTTTAGCTGTATCCCATAAATTTTGATGTGTATTTTCATTTAACTTTCTCTCTCTCTCTCTCTCACCTTCTCTCTCTGTCTTTCTTTCTCTCTCTATAGATAGATAGACATAAGTGCTCTGCCACTGAGCTACCACTGCAGCTTTTGGTATTTTGAGGCAGGGTCTCGCTATGTAGCTCAGGTTGACCTTGAACTTGTTATCCTCCTGCCTCTACCTCCTGAGTAGTGAGATTACAATTCACCACTATACCCAGAAATTAAAAATATTTTAAAGTTTTTCTTGTAAGGTATTTTTTGTTCCATGGGTATTGGTATGACCCTTTGAAAGCATGTTGCTTAATTTCCAAATATTTGAGAATTTTCCAAATGTCCTCTGTTAATGATTTCAAATTTAACTAGTTGTGGTCAGAGAATATTTTATATGAGACTTTCATCCTTTTAAATATATCAAAACTTGTTTTTTGGGCAAGCATATGCCTATGTAGGCATATCTTGTGCCCTTGAAAAGAATGTGTATCATGCTATTTGTGGAATGAGATGTCCAATTTATCCTAATGATATTTCTTGTTCTGAGGCCTATTTTTGTTTATTTTTTTTTAGAGTCTCTCCAGTTATTCCATGCGAGTCTCAAACTCAGGATCTTCCTGCCTCAGCCTCCTGAGTGCTGGGATTACAGGCATGTGCTACCACACCTGACCCTAAGTTCTATTTTGTTAGATAACTAAGATAGCTATTTCATTTTTATGATTAATGTTTGCATGATATATATTTTTTCATCTTGTTACTTTTTTAATGGGAGCATTCATACTTTATTTTTATGCTGAGTAATAATGCAAGGAAGTCCATTTATTTACTTTTTGCTTGAAAACTATTATTTGTACTTTATTATTGTAAAAACACATAAAGTTTACAATTTTAACCTTTTGTATTTAGTGCAGTTGCATTAAGTACATTTTCAAGTGAATATGATTACGTACCAATAAATTTTATTTACAAAAACAGGCAGTGATGTCAGGCACTGGTGGCTTGTGTCTTTAATACTAGCTACTTGGGAGGCTGAGATTGAGAGGATCATGATTCAAGGCCAGCCTGGGCAAATCGCTCAGCAAGACTCCATCTCCAAAATAACCACAGCAAAATGGACTTGACTGGAGGTGTGGCTCAAGCAGTAGAGCACCTCCTTTGCAAGCATAAATACCAGTCCCACCAAAAAACAAACGAAAAACAGGCAGTGAGCTGGATTTGGCCCTCTGGTCAAAGTTTGCTAGCAACCCCTGATCAAGAGTTTAATGTATCACAGTATACTTTCAAATCATTTTTATCAAAATTTTTGGTAAGTTAAGAAGCCTCTGGTACCATATTGTCATTTTCTCCTTCCTGTCCTTTGTTATTATTACCATATATTTTACTTCCACATATGTTATAAACCCCATTATCCATCTACTGTGATTTTGCTTTATTTAAAATTTTACTGAACCCAGGGCCTCACACTTTCTTGGCAAATTTTTACTTCAACCAATTACCTGATAAGGACATAAAAACTAGATAAAATGTCTTTTATATGTATTTTTTCTCTTATATATGCACGCATATCTTATACTTACTACTTCTGTAGATCTTAGATTTCTGGATTTATAGTTTTCATCAGATTTGGCTTTCTGCTTATTATTTCTTCATTTATTTGCTCATGTCCTCTCTTCTCCTTTTGGTGGTTCCTCAGGTACACATGTGTTAGACTGCTTTATATGTACCACAAGTTACTGAGGCTATGCTGCAGAATTTTCTCTCCTCTTCAGTTGGAATTGTTTCTATTGTTATGTCCTGAAGTTCATTTATCCTTCTTTCTAAAGTGCCTACAATAAAATTAAGCCTATCCAGTAAGTTTTTATTTTACTTTTTTAAAATTTATTTTTGTTTTGGCTGTACTGGGGTTTGAACTCAGGGCCTCATGCTTACTAGGCAGGTGCTCTATCACTTGAGCTACTCTACCAACCCAAGTTTTTATTTTAGATAATGTACAGTTCATCTATAGAATCTCCATTTGGTCCTTTTTTGTTGTTATCTAATTTTACTCTTTATTATGTTCATATTGTTATTTTTTTAAGTCCTTGAAATTTAGAAATAGCTATTTTAAAGTTCCTTTCTACGTTATCCCTGTCACTTCTGCCTTTTTTTTTTTTTACAACTTTATGAAGGGTAACATGATAAGTGATATTTTCCTGCCTCTGTATTTTCTAGTTTTTATTCACTAGAACATTTTGAATTTTACATAGTCGATTGCTAGATTTTATTGCCTTCCTTTCAAGACTGTTGAAGTTTGTCAGGCAGTTAAGTTACTTGCAGATATTTGTCATCTTTTTGAGATATATCTTTAAATTTCAGGGTTAATCTAGCATAGCTCTTACTCTTGGGCTAATTCATACCTACCAGGAAGGTATAATCCTTTGGGGTCTCTACACAATGCCCCAGGTGTTCAGTAAACTCTTTCCACTCAGACCTTTGTGAGCTCTGGGAAGTGTTCAGCTTACAGAGCCCCTGTGAACCTTCATGGACTCTTACTCTACATGGGTCCAGCTTAATATTTAGCAACAGACAGAATACGCGATTTCCACAGTTCTTATTCTGCATAGCTCCCTTATTTTTAGCACTCTGCCTAACAAATTGCAGCCACTTCAGTCTTTCTAAACTCTGATTTCTGTCTTCTCAACTCAGGAAGACCTTTGCAAGACCAACCCCTCCTTGTGTTGTGATATAGAAAGTATCTGTGAGAATTAAGCTTTTGTGATTGTAGTGTTCATCTCATTTTTTCCTCCTCCTCTCAGAGAACAGTTTTTCACTCTAGCACATTATCTGAAAAATCTTGTTTCATACATTTCATTTAGTTTTCAAGTAACTACAGGCAAGTTTAAGGACCAGGCACTCTAGTATGATTAGAAGCAGAAATCTAAAATTTTAAAGTCATATGTCACACATTCTAGGAAATATCCTTTTTTCATTATTTATTTACAATTATCTTTATGTACGTGCCTACTGACTGCAATTTAATTATAACTCCCAAATCAGTTATCAAAGTTTTTTTCACATTCTTTTTGTTATTTTTACATTTACTCACATATGTATACATTGTTTGGGGCCACCCCCCCTTTGCCCCCCGCTTCTGGGCAGAACCCAGAAGGTATCCATGTTTGAAAACATTATAAAGCTCTCCATTTTAAAAAAATACAATAGATTATATAAAATGAACTTTATAAGTTATTTGGTTTTCAAATATAAATTGATGAGTGATTGAATTGAAACACTGATTCTACTTTTATCAGCAAAGTTTGCTTGAATATTGTATACTTTTTAACAATCTTGTTTTATATTAAAGAAGTATCTCCCATTTTACACTAGAATGTTCCAGAAGTAAATAATAAAATACCAACTGAAAAGTCAGAAAACACCATCATACAGCAATACAATTCTGGACAAGGAAAAAGGGAAGAATATACTAAGAGTTTTTGTTCAGATACTGAATACAGAGAAAAGGAAGAAAAGAAAGAAAAAAACTTACTTATAGAAGAAACCATTGTAGAAGGTAATCTTAAAATTACATTGGTATTTTCTAACTTGTATATTGAGGTTTTTTTCCACAAATAAAGGATCTGCCAAAGCACCAAGGTGGGCTATCTAGAATTTAGGGGGTATCACCACTACAGTCTTTGCTTTGAAGACTGTATATAGTGTAGTTGGAGCAACACCTTCTCATCTGAGTATCTCAACAAAACAAGCATCCTTCAAGCTATTTTTTAGCAGTCAAATTTTTAAATCTATTTTTTGGGAAAAACTACATTTCTGCATTTTTTTCTTATCTCTTATTCTCTATACATTAGGTTTCTACATTTAGTTCTTTGCTGAGAATCTTCTCTGGGTCACCAGTGCTCTTCTGATGACCAGACTACTTTTATTAATTCAAACAATCCTCTGTAACCCCTGACGTGATTTACTAATTCTTCCACTTTGAAAAAAGAGTTGTTTAAAGATGGTACTGTTTGAAGGTGTTCAAACCTAGGCTGAAGAAACAACCACTTGGTGGAGATGTTGTAGAAAGAATGATTGGACTAAAAAAGCTCTTTAAGACCTGAAATTTGCATTCAGTGTTATTTTAATTATAGTTAAGATTTGATATCTACAGTGAGAACATAAGATGAGTTAAAATTAATGTCTTGGTCTTGTCTTAGAGCATATTGAATAAAAAAGTGAGGATTTTCAGATTTGGAGACGTGAACTGCCAACTCCTGAATATTGCTAGACCCAGGTAGTAAAAGAAATTAGAGTGTAACCTGTTAGAATAAATCAGTTTTTATCAGCTTTGTGTTTATATAGGATTGTACTGTAGGTGCAAAAGGAAACAGACTAGACACATAGAAACCATTTTGTAATGCCCCATCTTACTCCCCTTTTTTTAAACCAAAAATGCTTTTGCTGTTATGAAATAAAAATGTAGTGAGGTTGAACAAAATATTTAGCATCCAAATATATTACTTGTTACAATAAAAGGAACTCGGCAATTAGGTAAAATTTAAATCATTATGTTTGTACAATTAATGGCCAATATAATATTTAGGCTAAATGTTTTTATAAACATAGGTGGTACCTGTTTTATAAAAAGCAGGTTTTAGCATATAATGCACAATTTTCCTGTGTTCTCTTCATAACAGATTTACAGCTGTTTGAAAAAAGCTTCAAGAAAGAAGTTAATAATACCATTATATCTCAGGATGGAAATCAAAGTGAAATCTCTCTAAGCAAAATCCTCTGCCTAGATAAAGATGTAATTAGTCAAAAGCAAGCCTTGAATGTTACTAACTATAGAAAATCAGTTACTACAGAAATAAAAGACAATGGCTTGGAAAAAGACAGTGGATGTACAGAATTTAAATTACCAAATAATCCCCCTTTAGTGGTAAATATAGCAATAGAAACAGACAAGAAATGCCTAGAAGGAACAAAAGGACTAGGTCTTCATCACACAGATATAGATGTTCCTCTGGTGATAGAAAATAATAGAATGTCATTTAACAATATTTTAGATGAGACGGATCATGAAAGAAATGAAAATAAAGGTGTTTGTGAAAATGAACCTTTCAGATTGCTTCCAGGGTCACAAGAAAATGCTACAGAGAAACATATTACAAATAGTGATCAAACCAAAGCATATTTGGATTCATCTCTAGATGTAAAAATGAATCCTGTTCATTGTGAGTACAATTTACAGGATTCAAGTAATGTTATCTTAGATGCTAAATTGTATAAAATAAAACAAATGCAACTGTTAAATAAAAGAAGTGAGTGCAGCATATTACCTTCAAATTTTCATCAAGTCTCTGATACTAAGGAGAAACCTGAATTGACTATTCCCAGTGATACAGTAATCAATCACCCCATTTCATCTGCTGCCATTGCTGATAATTTGAAAGTACTTCAGAATTCAGAAAACAGTATTAACATTATGCCAATGTTGGTGAAACCCAACTCAAGCCCTGTGGAAAGAGCTATGTGGAAAAATGTGAATGATGTGCAAAATAGTCAATTTAAGAACTGTTTGGGTTATCTGGATAACAATGTGACCCGTTCCCATTTTCAGATTAACCATGAGAATAGCCATTCTTCACAAGCCAAAGATTTGAAAACTAGAGTTCATGTGAAAAATTCCACAGAAATACAGTTTTCCAATGACAGTCAAGTCAATGCAAATCAGATAACCGAAACCACAAAAAATGGCCTCTTTTTTGTCAATGTTAATGAAAGACAGCATACATTGTTAAAGAATACAGAGAAAACAGAGTCATTAAATGACATAGTTTCAGGAAAAATGTACAATGAAGGTCAGCTGGAAGAATCACATTCATTTCACATAAAGCCATCTGGAGATTTAGTAAACAGAAGTGGAAGGTCAACCTTTGATCTTCCCACTTCAGATAAAAAAACTGAGAAAACTCCAGTACACATGACTTTTTTAGAACCTGGTCCTTGGTCAAAAGTAAATCAAACTGAAAGTCAAACAGTGAGCACTTCAACTCCTAGCATTCCTTTGTTGCTGAAGGAAGGACCAGTTGGTCCATTACAAAACAAAAAGATCATTTCAAGGACTCCTTGTAAAAATGATGGTGTGGATGACTTCAGAGAGAGTATTGGGCCAGGTAAGAAAACATGGTTATGTCTCAATTCTTAAAATTTGTTTTACTACTTACTATTCTTTATAAACATTCTCCAAATATTGTTTAAAGTGAAAATGTTTGTATTCATTTTTTGGCTTAACACTGATATATACTACATACATGTATAGATATGTAAAATTTGATGAGGTTTTATTTAGATGGAAGTGCATATCTTTTCACCTAAACTTAGACCAATATTAATTATCAATGTGTACATCACATTTAGAGATTTTTCCTTTGTTGCTGTTGTTTTAATCCATCATCAAGTTATAGCAAAAACAATAGGTCTATCTAGATCATTAATTTTAAATTAGGAACAGCTACTTAATTACCTGATTTTTTTTTTTACTTTTTTAGGGCAAACGAATTTTAGTTGTTAATAAGGTTCCTGACAATGTGTATTGCATGTTTATTCCTTTCCTGTCTATCCTCTCAACATCCTTAAAATCCCTGACTGACATTTTAATAAATAACCTGTTATTTTCTTCCCTAGTTTTCTCCCTTTTCTCAGATTTCCTATTTCCTTCTGTTCCTTTACTTGGGCTTGTTGTGTAAGTAACAGTGGAACAGAGAAATTTATTTCATGTCATTGATATCTATCACTGTTTGAAACACTTTCAGTTGAATCCCTGATTTAATTATGTATGTATACTAATATGTTCAAATTTTAAATACCTTAGAAAATAGAGGGGCTATTTTATTCTTAAAAACCAGCACATGAAATGATATAATACCTAAGTTTTGCTTTAAAATACTCCAGGAAAGAGAGATGAAAAACATGGCAGTATTCATGCATGTTGAAATCTGGTGATCAGTGCATTGGGGTCCATTGTCTTTACTGTTGTTTTTCATAAGGTTTTAATAAAAATACTTAAAAACAGGTGTGTATAACTGTAAATTGAAGATAAACAGCAATATGATTGTGAAGAAAATAGTTTACTTTGCTAATAGCAACCTTATAGTTGTTGAGGTTAAAGACATTCTTAA